CTGAGCCATCCTGCTACCTATTGGCAGCTTAGCGGCTGCTCAGCTCAGGCTGGCCTCGAACCGCTGTTGCTCAGAGCTCAAACTCTTGAGCGAGCTCTTAATTTACATTTTAAATTAACTTTTTAATGTGCTTGCTAAAGAGTTTTGAAGATTCAGATTAATAGGAATTTTTTTTTAATTTATCTCCACAAAAACAATATGTCTGATTATCTCATCCTATCTATTTACAGCTCCAATGGTGGTGGAAGCCTGAATATGGCTTCTATTGCTCCTTTGAATAAAAAGATATTATAGAACAAACAGGAAAAAAAACCCATTCTTTAATGATACATTGATATTAGATAATCGGAAGTCAAAAATTATCAGTTAATTTAAAAAGTCCCTAATAGCATGATAATCTACAAGACGCATCCATGAATGTCAATTCAGCCTTACCTGTTTAACATACGGGATTTGTGACACTCCATCGGTGAGCTGTACACAATGTAACAGCAAAGAAGCTAGATTTTTTCCTTCCACATCAGCCAAAGCTACATAACACACACACAAAAAAATTTCCTCAGTGATTTAACAATATGTGGATATGAGTTTGCCTGTTATTCATTCTACAAAGTTTAAATGTTTATAAACTCAAAAAACCAGGAAGAACTTAGTCTGAAGTCAATTTTTTTTTTAAATAGCTGAACCATCCTGCCACCTGTTGGCAGCTCAGCGGCAGCTCAGCTCAGGCCGGGACTCGAACTACTGTTGCTCAGAGCTCACACTCTTGAGCAAGCTCTTAACCAACTGAGCCACTCGGCCGGCCCCTGAAGTCAACTTTTAAGAAAACCATTTTACATCTAAAAGTCAATATAAAAGAACATGGGAAAAATAAATAGCAAGAGTTTTAATGTTAGGTGATAGGAAGTCCTAGAGATAAAAATACTGTTTGCAGCCTAGAAAAGAAACAAATAAAAGTCAGAAATCACTTACAGTTCAAAGTTTCAAGGTCCTGATGACAAATGGTCAATGCAGTAACTTGCATTTCTTTCTTTTTCTTTACAACCATTTTAAATAGAATAGTAGTCACTGCAAGAAAGAAGAGTTTAAGGCATTGTCTAATGCAGGGTTCCTGAACCGCAGCACCACTGACATTTTGGGCCAGATAATTCTTTGCTGTGGGGTGTTCTCGTCCTGTGCACAGTAGGATGTTTAACACATCCCTGGCCTCAAACCACTAGATGTCAGTAGCATCTTCCTCCCACCAAGATGTGACAACCAAAAAAACCTCTCCAGACATTGCCTAATGTTCCCTGGGGATCAAAGTTGCCATAGGTTGAGAACCACTGGTCTAAGGATTTTTGCTTTGAAAAAGGAAAACTTTTTTTAAGCTCAAGAAGAGCTCATTATTGTCTAAAGTGATTTTTACCTACTAAACCCAGTCTTTGTATTTTAAAATACAGCAAACCTTCAGGTTAGTAATAACAAAAGAAACCAGCACAGTTTTTCCAAAAATCGAGTGTCTAACCTCACTAACTTCTTAGACTGGACAGATCAGGAGGTGTCATAATACGCTGCAAAGTATTTGATAAAGGAAACTTTCGCATACTATCGTTGTGAATGTGCTTTGCGTTAACAGAGCTTTCTTTTAGCTAGCAGAGTTCGTTTAGTTAACAGTTCACAATGGACTGAACAAATGTACTCGAAAAATATACACTGATAGCACCATGCCATCTGGAGACAAGTTGCTAGGGAAATGCCACACAGGGCTCTTTTCTTGGTGCAGGTAGCACTGTCAGCAGTGTACATGATGCTTACATTAAAAGGACATAATATAGTGAATTTGTAAAAGAATTTATATGTGAATTTATAAAAGACAGAAAGCGGGAGTTCATGTTGGATAATGGAATTAGGATTTAAAAACAGCCAATGAACTGGAATAAATTTACGAAGATGAAACAGAAATAAAAGTAAAATGCTGCACTATATTAGAAAAATATAACAGAAATACAGGATGGGGGAGGGAGGTAAAGTGCGATTTGAAACAGCTCAATGTGTAAACCAACAGCACAACATGACCGCTACGAAGCCCATTAGAAGGCAGGTAGATTGAGAGAATGTACGATCCCTTGGTCATGCCACAGGTCAGGTGACACGTGGAACATCAGGTTCATTGCTCGTGGCCACATCTTAACAATCCATAATCAATGATGGAGCTTCCGAGACTCAAAGAAAGATATGCCTGCTAAAATATCCAAACAACTTCTAATAGCAGGATCGCACGTGCCATTTTTATCTGCCTTCTCCAGTAAGGGCACAATCTATAATCCAAAAAACTCAAAAGTCATAGTAATGCTTCCTCATATCAAGTATAGCAAAGTTAACATGGATTCAAATACTCTTTTAATTCTCAACCAGATTTCTGAAGGCCTAGAAAGCACTTCCTTCAGAGAACAGCTAAGCGAACTAAAGGTGTTCAGCCTGGAGAAAAGAGAATAGGACAAGTGCCTTCAATCGCTGCCGGACTGTTTTGGAGAAAAGGAAAGTAGATGTCTTTTGGTCTTGCGATCGGATTAGGAAAAAGTGCAAGCTTCAGGGAGGCAGGTTCCAGTTCAATACAAAGGAAGAACTTCACGTTCCAACTATGGAATAGACTGCCTTCTAAACAGAGAATTTTCCAACACCAGGATTATCCAAAAAGAACCCGAACAAACCCTTTTCTCCTGGACTCCTTCAATAGCCGCCTTGTTTCTGAAGAGTCCATTCTCTTCACAATCATCAAAGCAAGCTTTTAAAAACTTTAATAAAATCTAATGACTCTCAGGCTTTCCAACGACTTCCAATTGCACTTAAAATGAAATTCAAATTTCAGACTTTGGCCTTCAAGGCCCGAAATAATCTGGCCCTCACTTACTTCCTCTGCACCTCATCTCAAATCCATCGTCTCGTCATCAGCTAAGGCACTCTGCACTTCCTGATGCTCCTGTTCCCAGTAAGGGGCTTTGCACTTCCTGATACTGCTGCCTGTTAATGCTGGTTCCACAGAACCAGGCTGGCTCAAGGCTGACGCCTTCTCAGCATTCAGGTCTGTTCTAGATTATCCCCTCCTGAGAGAAGCCTTCTGCGACCACTCTACATAAAATGCCACCCCTCCTACTCACACACACACCATTTCCACAGCATTTCTTCATAGCACTTACTCCCTGAAATTACACGGCCTTGTTTATTTGTACTTTGTCTGTGTCCCCTAGTAGTAAACTCCACGAAGGTAGCAACTTCCATCTGTTTTGTCCACTGTTTTCTCAATTCCTAAAACAGTACCTGGTGCATATTTGGTGCTTAATAAATATTAGGTGAATGACATATGAATTCATTAACAAACATTTGTCAGAGATGTTCTAGAAGGGATGTATGCCTTTAATGGCAGAAAGGTGGACTTGCTGGTATCTAAAATATATTCTGTATATAAGTGACAAGCTAGTCCTCACACTGATGAACTCTGGTCCATTTGCAAAATATCAATACAGCAATGGCATGTGAAAAACCACTCAACAGAAAATGGTAATAAAAATGGACACAGCTTAAAAGGAGAGAGGGGGGGAAAAAAAACAGAAAGAAAAAACAGACACAGCTAGAACAGCACTGACAAGGGAAAGGATTTGAAAAGTGACATGATGTCTTGTTAGGGAGACCACTTCATAGTCAGTGTAGAGGCCTGACCACTGCACTGTATATCTGAAGCTGATGTTGAATAATATTGTATGTCAACTACAATTATATATACATATAGTCACAGGACGTGGATTAGAGTGTGGGAATGGAGTCAATGGAATTGTAATAGATAAGTATGATATCGGGGGTGGAAGGGCAGTAGATGGGGGAGGGGGTTGTTTCTGTGCGAAGGGTGAAAAGGAAAACCATTGCATTGTTCTGTACACCTGAAACTAAAAATAAAAAGAAATAAAAAATAAAAAACAAAAAAACAACAAAGAAAAGTGACATGATTCGATCCAGGTAATAATTGGAGATTATCACTTCCTAGGGAAGTGACCACTGTACAAAGTTTAGAAGGGACAGAGGCAGATAACGGGGAGACTCTTCTCTGTGAACGGTGAGCAAATTTGCTGCAGGGTTTAATCTTGAAAACGTCAAGCCTAGATAAAACTAAGCGCGGTGCTTATGCGTGCTCAGTGGATGCCTAAACGTTTGTCCTGACGAGGCCTCCCCAATAGGGGGAAACCCCACGCCCACCCTAAGCACTGCTGAAGTGGCCAGAAGATGCTCAGCAAATTACACTTCTCCTGGGCCCCCAAACTGCTTCCCTTTTCAACGCTGCTTCACTCTCATCCGCACCTCTCTGCCTGACTCCCCCCAAACATTCCCTGGGAAACTTCCGAACCACGTGTAGTCCGTGGAACGACAGGTGTGGGGGGGGGGGGAACCTGGCTAAAATGCTATCTCCAAGGAGACCTAAGCGACCGGAAATCTGGTTCACAAAACTAAATTCTCGCGATACTACAGGACGGGACTTGATGGGAATCACCTGGTGGCGCTGATCCAGTGGCCGAGCCGAGCGGTGCAGCCGCGCGCGGTGGAGGGTCTGGCCGGCCGGACGCCTGCGAGCCGCGCCTCGTGCCCGCGGGCGTCTGCCAAGGGCTGCAGCCGTCTAGACTAGTCCCGGAGGCTGGTATCGTTCTACGGCGTCTCGATGACTCTCAACGTGGTCTGCAATCGACTACCGGGTCGCGGGGAAGAGAGGGAGGCAAGAGGACCTGAAGGAGGAGTCATCGCGAGATTATAGCTGACACGCTCCTCCAATCGGGAGTCCGGAAAAGTGATGTCACCGGGGAACGGGTGCTCGAAAGTGGGTCTGGGCAGATTCCGACGGGAAAGAGGGCGCTGTGCCTTACCTCCAGCGCTGGGATCGGACCCCTCGGGTTGCAATCCCGCTCGCCTTACCCCCGTAGGGCGGCTTGCACGGTGGGCTCCACACCCCTGAGTGCGTGGGAAGCCCCTTTTCCTCCACGCGGGTACTCCACTCGTTTCCCACTCAGCTTGCCCAAAGCAGAGACGGGGGAGAAGATTGCCTCCGGGTCTTGAGAACCAGGAGCCTGAATACTTAAGCCAACGAGATGGGTAGGGGATAGGGCAGGCTTTGCACCGAACCCGCAGTACAAATTTTGAGGAAAAGAAGTTCTGAAGTGAACTGACGTATGCCAAAAGTGCATCGATTCATTCTGCAAATAGTTAATGAGCGCTGTTGTCGGAGCATTGTCAGGCGCTGGCCTTGAAAGTGACACCCTATTTAGGATATACATATATATTATGCAGATAATACAAATTGTCAGATGGTTCAGACCTTTAAATATAAGTAAATAAAATAAGTAGGTGCTGAACACTACCCCAGGAGGTGGGGCAGGGGTAAGATCAGAAAATAGTTGTGGATGCTTTCTTCAGGTGCAATTAATTTGAGAAATACTGAAAAACATGAGTTCCTCAAACCTTTAGTCACACGGATGATTTTTTTTAAGTTTTTATTTTCTGAGTTTTGCCTTCCCTTGTATTTATTTATATATATATATATATATACATATATATAATCATTAAACAATATCTTATTTTGATTTTTGAGCTTGATTTATGGAATTGTATATGTTTTCTCTAAGACTGTTAGTTTCAGCATTGCTTTTGGCATTCATCCACATAAAATCGAGTTTTTCTTTCATTCTCTGTTGTATCCCATTGTTTAATGTACCACATGTATGTATCCATTCTGCTCTGGAGATTTGGATAGTTTCCAGCTTTTGCCCTAAAGAATGCTGCTGTGAACTTTCTTGTACATGTCAACTGATGAATGTGTACAGAACTTTCTCTACAGCGATTTTTTTTTTGCTAATATTTTTTACCATGACTGATAGCAAGAAATACATTGTACCTTGAACCAAGTACATCTAAGTATTTGGACATATATAACTGTTTTGGGGGAGGCAGCAAAATTATGCTCAAGAAACTAACTCTGTCAGCAAATTATTTAGCACAGGTTCACTGTGCAAATGATAATAATTTCACAAGCATACAGGATAATATCTCTGAATAAGCCAACTAAAGAAATAACATACTCCAAACAAATGACAGATTCATCACACCATTGATGCAGGCAGGGGGAGATGAAGGAATCAAGTCCAAATTTAATATGAGGTATATACCTTTTTATACAAGGAGACACTCCAGGAGAGAAGTTAACCAACTGAGAGCTGATCTCCAGCTGCTGGGGCAAAAGAACTCTGTATGGTAGGCTAACTAAGGCTCCCCAAAGGTGTCCATGTGGTAATCCTGGGACCTATGAATTTGTTACCTTATGTGGTAAAAGGGACTTTGCAGATATGATTAAGGATTTTGAGATGAGAGTATCCTGAATTACCCAGGTGGGCCCCATCACAAAGGTATTTATGAGAGGGAGGCAGGAGGATTGGAGTCAGAAAAACATGTGATCACGGAAGCAGAGGGTTGGGTGATGTGTTCTGAAGACGGAGGAAGGAACCACAAGCCCAGGAATGCAGGCAACCTCTAGACCAGCGGTTCTCATCCTGTGGGTCGCGACCCCTTCGGGGGTTGAACGACCCTTTCACAGGGGTCGCCTAAGACCATCGGAAAACACATATTTCCGATGGTCTTAGGAACCGAGACACCGCTCCGCTATCTGTCTCCAGGCGGGTCCGCCCACATGCAGATACGCCCCCATACAAGTACCCGGTGTGATGACATCATCGTGCCAACCCCATCACATACACCCCGTACAAATACAGGTGTATGTGACAGGGTTGGCACCATAATGTACTTATGCGGACCAGTCACACATGTGTAGAGAGCAGCTACTGTGTAGAAAGCAGCTGCTGTGTTGAAAGCAGCAGTATTGGAGGTAAAATGACACTTCATGAATTATAAATATTTCACAATATATAATTACATATTGTTTTTGTGATTAATCACTATGCTTTAATTATGTTCAATTTGTAACAATGAAAATACATCCTGCATATCAGATATTTACATTACGATTCATAACAGTAGCAAAATTACAGTTATAGAGTAACAACGAAAATAATTTTATGGTTTGGGGTCACCACAACATGAGGAACTGTATTAAGGGGTCGCGGCATTAGGAAGGTTGAGACCCACTGGCCTAGAAACAAACACTGGAACACAGCCCTGCCGACACCTTGATTTTAAACCCCATAAAGCCCATTTTGGACTTCTGACTTCCAGACCTATAGTAACATAAATGTGTGTTGTTTTAAGCTACTAAGTTTGTAGTATTTGTTACAGTAGCAATAATAAATTGATACATTCCCTAAATGAAAACGACAGTGGACACCAGGCTGCACACCTCCACTGACCTCAGTATCCAAAATCAGACGATGCCAGGGCACTCACCTGTACAGTTGAGGTTTTTTTTTTGGGGGGGGGGAATCTTGTCTTTTATTAATTTAAAGACTAGGTTTTGAGGAGAGGAAAAACATAGGGCAGAGAAGTATGAAATAGAAAATGAATACAAATAGCAGCTGTATTGCTAGTTGTTCTATAACCACAACAAACTAGTCCAGAGAGCATATGTACAAAACATCACAATAAAGTTTCAAGGATCGAAGTGTTCCCTTAGCAAGACTGAAGGTTTCGGGCTCTGGCCTTTGGAATTCAGGCTGCAGTTCTTGTTTTTGGGTAGATCACTAGAGGCATGGCACAGCCCGTGCTTTTAACCAGATCTGAACAGAAGAATGGCCACTTCGCCCAGTAGAAGTGGATGAAATGGTAGATTTCGTGTGTTACGTGATTACTGAACTTCCTCCCTCCTTGCAGTAAGTACTAGGTGGGGTTGTACTGTTTGTCAAACTCCTTCCCCATCTGGGCCACAGTGCCCACCTCGAGGTTGCATTTCTCCAACCCCTGAGTAGTGAGCGGTCTACACATCCTCGACAGATCTGCATTTTTTGGTCGTGGCCTTTAAGTAGCACATGGTTCTGGTGGAGCAGGGGCCAGCTGACAGCTGCAGTTTCCTCGGGGAGAGGCCAGCATGGCTCAGGGCTGCTGGGAGCTGCCCTTGCTACCCTCGCCCAAGCACATCTCAACCTGGGCCAAACGATACTGGCTTGGCTGTTGCTTGCCTCTTCCCATGCCTGGACCTTGGTTGGTGTGGGAATGAGTGAATTCAGGCAGCAAGGTGACCATTCCATAGCAGTGTGAAAAATTAGTCCAAACTCGGCTACCTATTCCTACTGTCATAGCACAAACAAGCAAGAAGGACAGGAGTTGTAGGTTCTTGAAAGAAACTATACTGACTATACCCCAGCATGCAGGAAACCTCCGTGCTGTGTCAGGAGGAGGAACAAACTTCGGAGGGTCTCACAAGAGGAGGAATAACTGCCCAGCCCAGGAGTCTGCTTGAGACTGGATGGAGTGCACTGTATCAGGATGTGCTCCTTAGAGAAAAACATCACTCACACTGGCCCCTCAGGCAGAGTCCCTCTACCTACAACAACCCCCTCCCAGTCCCCAACACCCAGGGCTGGCCTAGACTAGGGACCAATACATGTGGTCCCTTTAACCACGCCCCTTCCCTCAATCCCAGTAATTTTCATTAGCTCCTTGAAACAGACCTGCGAAGCATGCAGAACTGGGGTTCTCATTTTACTGATGAAGAAACATGTTCAAATGAAACAAATGCTGGGCTCTTTCCATTATATTCCGAACTCTCCTTTTTATGTGCAAATGGGGCCAAGTGTGCGGTGACACTTTCCTATTGTACAGAATGAAACAAAGCCATAATTACAAGGGCTGAGGAAGTAATGGTACAAAACTGGTAATTCGGTTTCATGTTAAATCCTGAAGTCAGTGACCTAGGGCCAGAAAGTGACCTTTCAAATTTCACCTCTGCCATCTGGTGGCCAAGTGACAATAGAGCTAAAACAACTGGGCATTGATACTGTCATCATATGAAAGTTCCGCATGACCCTGAGGCTGGGTGAATGAGTTGAGTGTGGGCTCTGACTTTTAAGGCCTGAGATAACAAAATAAAATGTTAAATGTACATATAAAGGTCAGGCGTTTTCCACAATTACTTTTGCTCGGGGTGAGGAACCTCACAGTTTACGATGGAAGAGCCCCTTCATCCATTTATTCAACAGATATTTATTAAACATTGTCTTAAGTCAGTATCCCAGGAAACAGATTCTACACAGAGATTTGTGTCAGGGAGGCTTACTCGGGAGTACTCTTGAGAGCAACCCTCGTAAGGGTTTAAGGGAAATAGAACTGAACAGAAAGGGTAGAGCTGAGATGAATTTGCCACAGAGGCCTTAGCCAATGGTATTGGGAGCTCTGGAGTTGACTTGGTGAGGGCCAGAGCCCATGTCCTGCATCACCCAGTTTTGGGATCAGGCAGTGAGCTGTAGCAGGTGACACTGGCAGCATCTGGGGGAATGCGTGCCTTGGTCCTAAAAGCAACACATCACAGCATCTATTACCAGCCCCTGCTATGTTCTGCACTGTACCATGGTCTAAGGATACGATGTAGAACAAGACCACATCTCTGTCTTCAAAGATACCCAGGGGCGCAGAGTTAAAGCATAAACAAACAAATGTTTTCAAAAAAACAGGAAATAGAGGGGCCAGCCGAGTGGCGCGTTGGTTTGGAGTTGGCTTGGGACACCAGCTCTGAGCAGCAGGGCCCCGGTTTGGATCCCACATATGAGGGCCAGTGACACTGCCCTTCACAGCTAAGAT